GCATTCAGTGCTAGAGGGTGAAGGAGAGAGATTTAGTAGTAGGAACAGGAGAAAGATATGAAGAGAGGAGGACAGCGGAAGCCCATGGAGCATAGAAAGCCCTAAGGAAGAGAAGAAGTAAGCAGAAACCATTTGATTTAAAAGATGAAGTGAACTCATAGTGGTCTCAGCAGAGAATAACTGAATGACAACATAAGCAGCTGAGTGAGCACAGACATCTGTTTCTAGGGGGTGTCTGCCACCCCAGCTGCTTTGTGTGCTGGATGGCATTCTGGTTATCCAAGAGGACTGAAGGTGTCGTCATGACCAAGCCCCAAACCACAACCTAGTCCTTGTGGCATAAGGATGTGACACTCATTTTCCCTCAATTTCTGAAAATAAACTCACACTGAGATTCCCTGAAACTGTACCAGAAAACATGAGGGACTTAGGAAAGGAACAGTTAACGAAGACCACTGAGAGACTGTAGGACTAAACTCTACTGGGGAACTCCAAAGGCCTGTTCCTTGTTGCCTATATCAGAGCTGCCTGGGGAATCTAATAAACAAGAAGTTCGAGATGCTGCATGTTTATCAAGAGCCCAGGTTGTCCGTCTTCACGCACTTGGGATTTCCCTCTCATACTGTCCTCTCAGGTATGCCTGATGACGTAATGCATTTGTCCTTCTAACAATGCTTGTACTTCTTTGCTTCTATTCTTGTTAAAATTGTAACTTGGCAAAATATGAAAATAATGCATATTTATTATGAAGATTTTAGAGAATTCAGACAAGCAAAAACAAAAAGCTTTAAAAGGCATCTGCAATTTCATTTAACAGCAATACAGCTAAACACTTGTTTATTTTCCTAAGTTTTTCCTTAATATAGGCATTGTACATAATATTCTCTACCTGCTTTCTCATTTTATGATATATCTTGAACACTTTAATGTGTTACAAGGCATTGAGCTACATCATCTCTAGCAGTTATGTACCATAATAAAGAAAATGGATATCAAATTTAACCAATCTCCTATTGCCAGACTTTTAAATTGTTTCCAATTAATCTCTCTCCTAGAAACACTGAAGATCAACCTTGTATAAAATTTTGGCCCATATATCTGCTGATTTCTTGAGCATAGACCCCTAAAATTTCAAAGTGTTTGAAATTTACTATCAGATAGCCTTCCAGGCAGTCCACAGTGATTTAAACTTGCAGCAGCAGTGTGTGCCAGCATCTGCTTCCTATGCCCTTGTGAAAGCTGGACATTACCATTTTCCTTTAATTTCATTAATGTTCTCTTAAATGCCTTATAATACTAGTTCTCAACATTGGCTTCTCATTTAAAAAAATCGTTTAAGGAGCTTTTCACAAGTCCCAATGCCTAGGCTCCATCCACCAAAATAATTCCAAATGTCAGGATAGGGCCTGGACATCCACCTCAAAGAAACTACAGACTTAAAAGAAAACACAGCCATATAAAACAGTCCTGATTTCAGAGTGAGATGATACCCTAAGAATGCAGAGTATTCTACACAGAGAATTCTAGGCAAGATTCCCTTGCTGTAGCCATAGCCCCTCACCCTGTGAAATGACCATTATCATGAAGAATATCAGAATTGTCCTCAGCCAAAAAGAAATCAACTTTATTCATCAATGTGAAGTACGGATGCAGCATCTCCTCTCTGTCCAGTGCCCCCTGCGCTTCCTTCACTCCCCAGCTCCAGGTCACTGTCTCAGGAAGCCTCTCCTCACGCCCTGACCACATCGCATACCCCTCTCGTGCCCCTAACACATCAGGTAGCTCTCTTTGGGGGCACTTACTACTGTTGTGACTTTTTTCAATGATGTTCTGAAATAGGAGTATGCACTGTGAGCCAGAATAGTAGGGAAAGTTCATGAACAGTGAAATTTGGTTTTGGAAATGGGTAGGTTTTGAAGAGTCAGAAAGGAGTGTGTAGGGGCATGTAAGTCAGAGTCATTAAACTTTATA